ATAATAAACGAGAAAAAAGAGGAAGCATTTAAGAGGTACAGTGCAGTCACCAGAGGAGCCTCAATGTATAGCTGGAGGGACATCATCAACAGAAGCAAAGGAACAAGAACAAAGAAGGAAGTGGAGCCTGCGACAGCGCGGGACTGCTGCTAGGGAGAAGAATAAGAAGACTAGCGCACAGTCCGGTACTCTCCTATTCTCCTAAACTATCCTAAAACTGTGGCTGTCTATAGCATTTGAGCACTACTGCAATGGTAGGCGTTATGGCGAAGTTGGAACGCAGCCGTAGGTGTACGCCAGGAACAACAACGGTGACACCACGGCTCCTTATGGAAATGTACCAGTACAAAGGAAACTCTGTGAGAAACTTTTACCCACTTATGGTTAGACACACAATGTTTGTCTTTCGAACAGCATCGCATTTAGCTAAGGATGGGACCTTTCATTCCTAAGTGCCATAACGTGTAGAAACGCCTTGCATAATTCAAATTATTGAAAGCCTTCGAGAAATGGATATAGATAAAACAGGGGAAAAAGATATCAAAACTTCTTTCCTTTCCGAAAACTAGACCGTGCATTGACGACAATGACTGGCGTTCACCCAGGAAATAAGTCTGCGATGCACTTTAATGGCAGATGTTGTATTAGAAGGAATGAACTCTGATAAAGCTGATACTGCGCACCTCTTTTGAGAGCGTATTTAAGAGAGGTGAGCGGTAGGGTTGAGTTAGTTTTGTGTGTGGTATACTCGCCAGATAAACCTACTGTGCGTATCGTCTATTTCGACACTCCCAGAGACAACCAGAAGCCAAGGGATCCAACAGTGGCGATCAGGATATACAGGCACTCAAGCGAAGAAACCAGGAATTCTCAAAAGAAGAAGAAGAGCTAGGGCAGAAGAAGTCCACGACCAGGACCAGATCTGAAGCAAGACAAGGATCTCTGGCCACAGCAGAAAAACCAGTGTTTCTACAGTGCTGCAAAGAACCAAGGTCTCTTCGTGCGGTATTCCTTTTTATTCGACTCTGCAGGATTCGAACCGTATATTTCTGCTCGCTTATCTATGATATATCACATACTTCTGCAAGAACCGGACGAGGCCTGAGCAGATAAGTCTTTACTCTTGCAGTGATAGAAGTTGGTACCTTGTTACCTGCACAGTTTGGAGCATAAGGTCAGCATCGGATAACCAGTAGCGTGCCAGCCAAGCACAAGTTATCGACAGAAGTACAGTCAGCTCACCGGACAACCACATCGACACTTGAAAAATGGATGTGACCACCATCTTGACCATGTTTAGAGAAATGATGGACGAACAGAGGAATGTTATGAACGAACAGAAGAATGTCATCGCCAAACTGCTAGATCGCATTCCAGAACGCGGACAGGGAGATTGCAATACGACGGAGCACATAGCACTCCCAAACTTGATGGCAGCGTTGAGCAACCGCATTGAAAAGTTCGTTTTCGACCCGGATGCCGATGATGG